TAGATAAGTAACAAAAAAGCACTTGGCTTGTTTCTATATTTAAACCCTAGATTTGAAATTTATTTTTTTAGTGAAGAGAAAATATTGATTTCAGTGGACTTGAGTTCAGTTTAAACTGCAGCCATAAATGTGTGCATGTGTATGCATATAAATGTGTGTGTGTGTGCATGCACACACACACATATATGCATACGTACACATGTATGTGTGTGTGTGTATATATGTGTGTGTGTGTTTGTATAAACAAACCTAGGAGAAATTCACTTTATATGTTTATTACTGGTAACATAATTAGTCACAGTAAACTACAGTGTTAGGCTGAAACTCCAGGCCATCTTTTGAATTTTGAATACATAGAAATTTTGAATACATAGGAAGAAGCTTTCTTGAACTTAATGGGATTTATGTCTGTGTGGATATTTATAGGACTAGGTACTTAAGTACATGAAGAATAGCTTATTGTACTTAATCCATTTTTGGGGGGAGACCATTTTCCTAAGTAGTGCAGCTTGATTCCAAAAATTTAGAATTTAATGTGTTTTTGTTAGGAAACTTCACAAAGGCTCACCCTGTAAATATACAGTATATCCATTTTCTCATACCCTAGTCAGATAACCAATCCAATCTTTTTCTTCGTAGAATATCTTGAAGGGGGAACATCTTCTTATTTTCACATTCAGAGTTCTAGATGAAACAAATTCTGGATAGTGGGTTGAAGCAAATATAATTACAAATGCTGAAATTATTATTTTTTAATCTGGGAAGCTCTTGGAAGGCTCCTGGTTCATGGAAGGGTGAAATTATCTTTACATGTTGTCAGCATTGTGGTTACTCTTATAATTGTGATTGACATAGCAAAATGGGTGGTGGAAAACAGCCAGTTTTAACACAGCTTTAATTCAGGCTTTCAGTAAAGATGTATGCATATACTAAAAATAAAGTCAAGACTGTTCAAAAGCAGTAAATGTTTATAATCATTTATCAAAAAATATCTTTGTAGTCTGATTTTACTTGTAGCATAGAGGTCTAAGAATTCATAGAAACGCTCTACATTTTAAGAATGTAGCTTTTGTTAGGTTTAAAGTTTAGCAGCCAGATGGGAAAAGAAGAGAAAATCTGAACAGTTGCCAAACATCTTTGCTGTTTTTCAGTTTTCTTTGGAATTTTAGATTATTTTACCAGGGTTTGTCTAGGAATGTTAAATCTGTCATTGAGACAGGGAGGGAAATCTAAAGGATGCTTTCTGCTAATGTTTGTATTACATCTCAGTATTTACATTTTCTAAACCCTCTAGTTCTTACCAGAATGGCTAGAGGAAAAAAAGTCTGGATAGTTTTCACAGCTGTTCTGCAGTATTTTCCAGACTAGAATCTGAACACAGCAGGCTGATTTATGAGTCACTTTGGACCTGTGTCTTAAAACAGCTACAGCCTACCTCTTTGTTTTTTAGCTTTCGTTCTTTCTGCTGAATTAGCAGCTCTAAAGGTCTCAGTGGGGATTGATTAAGAATATGTTGCTGGATTTGCATTTAAAACAATGACCTACATTTCAGCATTTACAAGGAAAAAGATACTAAATATACTTAAAATGATGTACATGGAGTCAGGCTGAAATTCCATACATGCTTTGTGAAGAATAAGGGTCTTTGAAGTTACTGACTCTTGTGAACATTGGGGCATAGTATTAGGTTGCTCTGAAATATTTCTTTACTACCATTTTGTTCAGCTTTGAGTTGATCATATATATCATTTATATTTTCGATAACGAACAGTGTCTTGAGCATTTGAATAGCAATAATGTTGGCTGCTTCCTAGAAGTCTCCATTATCCTAATGCAAGAATTGTGAATGATAAAACTACAGCTGTCCTTACATTCTAAGGAAATGAGGAAATTCAGGACTCAGTATGAAGTAAGATATTGGTTTGATGAGGGTTTCAGTTTTCAGCCTCGACATTCAAATACAACATTAAGCAATGATTCAATATTACTTGACTGAGACTCAGGCTCATGAGCTTTTCCTTCTCCATGGTTCAGTGACAATATCGGTTGCTTTCATTTATAACAAGATGGAGTTTAAGTTTATATCTATGCCTTAACTACTGTGTTCAAAGCCAAGTTCAATCCTTGGTGTCTAATCATGGCTCCTTCCACTGTAGTATACTGTAGTTAAGATCTACGTAGTTGTAAACTTGCAGATAGAGGTGTTGAATACAAAGCACTGGGTCTTCTCTTTGTAGCCTTACAGTGAAGTAAGTGGAGGAGACAGACATGAACAAAGTGCTCTACATCCTCATCCATTTTACCTATCAATTCCAAAGGGGTCGGGATCAGTCTGGACATGTACATAGAGGCTTACTGCTATGAAAACCTCACCACATCAAAAGTTCCTTAATAAATATGTAATGCTTCAAGATGTCTTTTGCATTTTCCACATACAGGAAGGCGTTTACAAGCCCTCTGCTGTTACTCTGAAAGGGTTAAAGAAAGGTCCCTCTCCTTGGAAGATTGCACCAACTGCTGGCATCTTAACAGGCCTTGTCTTTTTAAAAGTGAAATGCGTATTTTCAATGCCTGAGTCCAGCCATTCTTAGTCATTTAATATTTCCAGTGCTACTAGAGATCTGAAACCACTGGAGAGATTTTTCTTTCCATGTACTGTGGTTTTAAAGAGGGAGGAGGCCAGAGGAGTGGAAAATGTGTGTTCCACAACTTCAGTGATGCTAGTGCTTACTGCTGAATTATAAAGAAAGATTGATTCACATTATTTCTCACCAGTGCAAGGAATTCTGTCAAAAAAAACCAAAACAAAATTGAGGTGCCATAAAGACAGAAATCTGCATTTTAAAACCTATTTTCTCAGGAAGCTTCTTCAAAACTGACATCAGAAAGGATTACTTGTATTTCAACTCTTAGATTGTTTCTCCTTGTTTTGTCGGAATGTCTGTTTCTTCAAATGAATAATATTTTCCTTTTAGCATGCTTCTACATGCTAAAAATAGATTTAAATGGCAGGCCTATTAAATTTCTTGTTATAGTATTTTGATTTTGGCTGCTGAGCAGTGAAGAGACATTATAAAAAATCTGGACGGGGGAGGGAGAGAATAGGTCACAGAAAATCTGCTGATACCAGCATGTCATAAAACACAAAGGTAGTCTGAAACATAATGCACATGCAAGTTATACATACAACCTCCTTGATGGAGTCCAGATGGAGAGTATGCTTGAGCTCTGTAGTGAAAATCCCTGACTCCAGTTTAGTGAAAATATACAGCAGTAGTTGTAACAGTAGAATTTTTATAATGTAAAGTTTGTGCCAGATTTCCACCCCCATTCTCAGTGTTATAACTTTGGCAAAGTAAATCTACTAACTTCTATTATTGTCTGGTAGATCCTAAAGAAAGTATGTCTTCTATATTGTTTCATGGTCTTCCTTCCTTCCTTCCTTCCTTCCTTCCTTCCTTCCTTCCTTCCTTCCTTCC